GGATTGTATTTGAGTCAATGAGTCAATGCAATCAACTGGTTTTCCTTAGATAGAAAACTTTGTATCAATTTGACTGTATGATCTGGTTGAACTATAAAGTGCCTTGAGATGACATGTGTTGTGAATTTGGCGCTATATAAATAAACTGCATTGAATTGAATAATCTAAGACCAATCACTCTTCTTAATACAGATTATAAAATATTTACTAAAGTTTTTGCAGCTAGATTAAAATTGGCTATATCAGACATAATTAGTTCTACTCAATCTGGTTTTTTAAAAGTTAGAACAATCTATAATAATATCCGTCTAGTTCTGGATCTAATTGAATATGCCCAATTGATTGATGATGGTTTTATTCTGTTTTTGGATTTCCACGAAGGTTTTGATACGGTGGAACACGCTTTTATTCTTGAAACATTTAAACACCTTGGCTTTGAAAAGTGTTTGGATATTATCAAGATGTTGTACACAGACATAAATAGCTGTGTTTCCTTAAGTGAAGGGACATGTCCAAGAGGGATTATAAAGAGAGGGATTAGGCCAGGATGTAGCGTGTCACCTCTGTTCATCACAGTTACAGAACTCTTAGCTATCTTCATAAGAAGCTCCAATCTCCAAGGCTTACAAAATCAGACAATTATCATAAGTCAACTGGCAGATGACATCATTCTGTTTCTAAAAAAAGAAAATCAAATCCCTCTGGCCATCCAAACATAAATGTATTTTCTAAAGCTTAAGGATTGAATTTAAATTTAGAAAAATGTGAATTAATGAGCATCCATGAAAGTTTTGATTCATCGTTGTACAACAGGTCAAACTTGAGGTCAAATACCTGGGAATGTGGGTAACAAAAACCGAAAGTTGTAAAATCAAACTAAACATTGAACATAATTTAAACAAATGTAAACAGATACTTAACTGGTTGCAGAGAGACCTAACTCTTTTTGGTAGAACCCTACTTACCAAAATGGAGACTTTATCAAGATGTATTTACCCCTCATACTCATTATCTATACCACAAAAAATTATCAAGGAAATTAATAAATTAAACTTTAACTTCATCTGGAGAAACAAGCATCACTATATCAAGAAAGGAAATGTAGTTAAAGATTATGAAGATGGAGGAATTAAAG